CATTTGTATGTTTATACTTGAGTCATGTAAGCCCAAAATTGCCCAAAATTGAGCTGATAAGAGCCTGAGAACAAAAGTAACATAAAAATTTTGCATTATTTATAAAAATGATTTAGTGTTCAAAAGTTATTATATGAAAAAGTTAACAACCTCCTCAAAACCCCTTATTTTGAATTGGTTGGGTGTAAATTTTAAATAAATTTTAAGGGATGCTATTTCTAAACATAATAATATTTTTTTTAATGAAACTTTAAATCCCTAAGTAAATTTTTATCTAGTCTAATAAATTTTAACTAATGTGACAATAAAAAAAACTAATGCTGCATACTTGTTTTGTACCTAACATCATTAGATAACTTTATTTAAATGCATTTGTGCATAAAGATACTCACTTATATCTCTCTTTAGCCTCTTTTTTTTGCTTTTTTCATTGACAAAGATATTCAAATCTCTTTTTTTTCTGTGTTGGTTTTCGTTATTTTTTGATGTTTGACATGAAACTTTTGCATACACTGTATCTCCGTAAAACTGCCAAGGTGGATCCAAGTCACTATTTCTTTTTCGAGGAAATTTAAGACTGTAACTATTTTTGCAAGTAATCTTGCTGAATTCGAAACCTAAATGAGTAAAAATTTAAAATTTGAAAATAAAGTTTAATTAGATTTAAACTTTATTTTAAATCAATATTAATAAAATTTTAACATTAACTGAATATAAAATAAAATTTAATTTATTTTATCTCCATTAAATTTATCTCCATTAAATGTTTAATTTTATATTCAGTTAATGTTAAAAAGGTAATTATCATGCAACTGGTAGTACTAAACTTTGTCTCTCCACACAGCAATATTGTTCATAAAGGTTTGTGTTTTGTAATTTTTCCGGGTTTTTCTTCAAATTTAAAAACTTAGACAAATTTGGTTTTAAAGGGTTTTTACCAGTAAAAAAAAAGTTTAACACATGTGAAACCAAAGTTATAAACAGTACTTAACGTGTGACCACAATGTTGAACTGATCCTATAATTGGGATGACAAGGAAGCAAAGCTTCTTTAGCAATAATGAAAGTAACTTATTGGTAATAGCAGGCTTTTAGTTGATTATTTATTAGGTGCATCAAAGTATACATAAATCTACTTGACTAGGGATAGGTGCAGTGTTTACATACATCAGCTGATTTAGAAATAGGCACAGCAATGTAAATATATTGACTGAGGGTTTTGGTTTAAGCAGGCACTCTTTCAATTATTATACTATATTGTGCAAATAAGTTTGTATTCTTTTTTATGTTGTGCAAATAAGTTTGTATTAAATAAGATTATTTTTAAAATATCCAAACTTCCTTAAAAAAAAAAAAAAACTTACAAGATTGAAATCAAGAAAAGTTTTGTTGAAAAAAAAAAGATAAATGTTAAAATTACAGTTCAATTTAAAAGTTTAAAAATTTAATTTAAAAAAAATAACAGTTCAATTCTTTAATGTTCCAGCAAAAGCTCCTGGGTAATTCCATGTCAAATGACCTAGGTCATGTCACCATACTTTTCAGATTTTGCTAATTTTTGTACAGCTGAGTGTTTAGTAAAATATGAATTCTTCAAAAATTTTAACCTCTGGCTCCTGAAATATGACCATTTTACTTTTAACAAAAAATTGGTCTGGCCCCTCTTGTCCTCTCAGAATTCTAATGTTTATTTGCAGGTTTCAAGTCACATAACTTTAAAAATACTAGATTTTTTTACTAAAAAATTGTAATTAGCTATTTTTGTGGGTCCAATAGAATGATCGGAATCCGTCCAATAGAATGGAATCCGAAAATAGATCGGAATCCATCCAATAGAATGATCGGAAATGTAAAAAATTATTATTAAGTACCTGTAATTATCAATTTAAATAAATTTAGCAAATTTTGTATATACCTGTTTATAATGCTCAAGAAACCCATGATGCCTTGAAGATATCAAAAAAAATAAAATAAATAAAAGTAGACATTATTCTATATTTTTGATCTTTCAAAAAATATAAAGATTTTGGTCTGTAAGTATATGGATTTCCATATATATATAAAGGGGCACCCCACTTTTTTGTAGCAGAATATTGCAATTGATTTTTCACTACCTACTAGACTAGCTGGAGCTCTGAAAATTATGGCATTTTTGTAGTGCCAATAAATCATTTATTGGCAAATCTAAAATGTGCATTTAAAAATTGTTTTCAGGGCCTCAAGACATTAGGCAAAACTGGGGATTAGATGACCAGAGGGTCCGTGGCCTGGGGCACTGGGACTATGGTCCACTTATTTTTTCAAAAAATTTAATTTCTTTTTTTTTTGCATTTTCAATAATGTAAAAATAAATTTGAAAAACCACATTAAGAAAGATCATTGAATACAGAATGATCAAAAAACAAATGGAACAAATATAAACCAAAAAAAAATTTTGAAAATAATATTTTCAAAGTTGTATTTACTTTGATAAAAATGAAAAATTTTTTTTGTTGTTGAGAAAAGTGGGGCATGTTCCAAGTGCTCAGCCCTCTGGTTATCTGCCGTGGAAACAATTTTAACACTTGTTCATCAGGACTACACAAATGCTGAAAGTTTCAGCATTTGTGTAGTCCCGATATATTTTATTTGCTTCCAGACAACTTTCCAAGTTGTCTGGAAGCAAACATTTTTGTAGTAAAACAAACATTTTTTTTTTAACATCTTCGCTTCCAAAAAGGCTGCAAGCAACCACTAATTAGCGTTGGAAGTTAGTGGAAGAGAAAAGATGAAGATTGTAGAGCAAGATAACGATTGACAGACGACTTAAAAGATTGCAAGTCATATGAATCATGAAAGCAAGATGAAGGAAACGAATTCCAAAGAACTGATGTTGGAAGAAAAAAACGTTTTTGGAGCACTTAGGAACAGTAACAGAAAAAGGATGAGACTTAATTGAATGACAAGTAACATGAGAGTGAATTTTAGTAGATGGCACAAGAGATGCTAGCTCTTTAGAGCAGTGCCCATTAAAGTATTTGTAGAAAAGAGAAAGAGAAATCACTTTAGATACAGAAGCTGGAGTGAGACGAATGTCAGACAATGGATCAACCTGTTTGACGGCTATATGAGGTAGAACGCAACTAGTGGAATCAAGAGATATTTATAAAAAATTCTTAGCAAATAATCCAGCTTTGTCTTTGGGTGAGATGACAAAGTCTGAACCATACAAAAGAGGTGGAATTACAGACTTGCTCTTATTATTGATACTATTAAAGATTCTTCAGAAGTCACGAGAGCCTAATTTTTGTGATGAAATACGAGATTTCATGACCTGAGAATAGCGGGCTTTGGCATTAGACAAAACCTTTTTACAATGGTTCTTAACAGTAATAAACAGACACCTTTTTTCTGGAGAATTGTTTTGCTGATGTCTTGCTGATAGATATGGAAGTAATGGTTTCAATTGGCAATTGCAGCATCACCATGTAAGGAAACCCATGGAAAAGAGTGAGGCTTGACCTGGAATTGGAGAGGGAATAAAGGATTGCATGCCAGCCTGAATCCATGAAGTTATGTAAGAAGCACATTTGTCAACAGGAAGACAAAAGATTTCTACCCAAAGGCCATCATGAAAAAAATCACGGAAAGAGTCCCAGTCAGCTTTAAGGTAGTTGTAAGATGTACAATGATAGGGGGATTCTGATGATAAAGAAGAATGAGATGATAGTTTTAGAAAGATCAAACTGTAATCAGAGGCACCTAAGGGTGAATGTGGAGAAACTGAGCACTGACTAGGATCAGAAACAAACATAAGTCAAGTAGAGAAGATAAATGATTTGGGTTGTCTGGAAAGCGAGTTGGAAAGTTGACTATTTGAGTTAGGGATTGAGAACAGGCTTGGTCGGGAAGCGGGAGCGATCGCTCTCGATTGCTGACCACGTAAATAATATTTAGTTGCGAGATTTTTAGTCGTTTTGAGAACATTTTAAAAAGCAAAAAAAAAAAAAGATTAATTGGACCGATGAGAGACAATTACAAAAAAAATAAAATTAAGCGATGTTTTTTATATAAAGTAACAACTTACGATCGTTTAAAAGGGAAATAAATATTCTTTATTTAACTAAGTTTGCAAGTTTTAGTTTTACTTAAGCTAAATTTTTTTATAAATAAAAAAGTTAATTTTTTAATACCTATTTTATGTTTCGAGTAGTTTGAAAAGTTTAACATATTTGAAGCGATTCTTCTTAGTAAGATAAACAAATGAAAAAATTAAATCATCGAATTACTATAGGAATTAAATAATCAAGATAGAAATCAACTAAAAAGGTTAAAAATACTTAATGACCAGGAAGCGAAACTGCTTCGCAATATCGCTGATGATGTTTAGTGAGTGGGCTTTTTAATTTTAATTAGTATTTAAAGCAGAAAAAAGTATATTAGTCGTGACCTTAGGCGCGATGCTTGTTCATCCGCGAGTTACTTTGTATGCGTTTTTTGTGTTTAGTAACCAGAAACTACTTATATGTTTGTTGCATAATTAGTTTTATTAACTTTAACGATTATAACTTCATTGAAAACGCAATTATTTTTGTAAGTCTTTGTTTAAATCATAAAAATTGCTTTAAAAGATACATTACGATAAAAAACAAATACACAAAATTACATTTACATAAAGAATACAATCTCTTTTAAAATAAAAAATAAGAATATACTAATAAAATCTATGATTTATAATAAACTTTTAAAATTTTAACAATTTAATCAATTATATTTAAAACATTTATTTTCGTAAACAAATAATATATATTCTTAAAACAATGCTAGAAATCTCAAAACGTAACAAATCGTGTGTAATACAATTTTTTAAAACATTTTAACAGAATACTCTAGAACTTTATTTCGCTTAAACAGCGTATTTTTTGAACCAATAGAATTAGTTTGTTTGTTAATTTGGCGGATTTTTAGTGTTCGCAAATATTCTTTTTATTCTTTCGCACAAAGATGTTTTAAGAACATTAAAGTTTTTTTATGTTTCCATGTATGTCCGTAAAATAAAAATTTTTTGTTTCGTACATAAACTTAAATGTTCTCAAAACGACTAAAAAACCTGGCCAGTTTTACGCAACTAAATATAATTTCCGTGGTCAGTATTCGAGAGCGATCGCTCCCGCTTCCCGACCAAGCCTGATTGAGAAAGGCAAAAGTTGTGGGCTTTAATGCCTGCAGAGTCACTGCCAGAGTTACAGCCAAGCCATTCAGTGTGATGAACATTAAAGTCACCGACAACAACAATATTGACTGATGGATAAAGAGAGAGGGCTTGGTCAATATGATCAGAAATAACATCAAGAAGAGTGCAGTCTTGAAATGAAGGATAGCGATAAAGAGCAAAGAGAAATGTGATAGAGTGAAATGGTGTTAAACAAAAGTACATAAAAGAGTAGTTTGTGGATTCAAACCTAGTTTCCCTACAAATGAGTGAATTCTTACGAATGTAAATGCCCAGGCTAAGCATGTGACTATTGGAGTCTTTACGAATTAAAGCAAGACAGGGTGTCTGCCATTACATCAAGGTGGATTTCCCTGACTTTTCCCTGATATTTCCTTGATCTTCTACCTGTTTTCCCTGATTTAATTTACCTAAACTAAGTTACCTAAACTCAACTTTACAAAAATTGACCTAGATTTGTCTAGAAAAATACTCTTCAACATCAAAAATATAAACAATAATACATTAAATGTATCAAGAGAAGTTTATAAGACTATTTATCAAGTAAACTTTTATACTATGTGTACCATATACATCTTATTTAAGTTATGTAAATTTGATGAAGAGCCATTTTCCCTGATTTCCCCCTGATTTTTCTTAAGTTTAACCTAATTTCCCTGATAATTCCCTGATTTTTTTGCTGATATCTGAATTCTCTGACTTTTTCCTGTTTTCATTGATTTCCCTGATCTGGCAGACACCCTGATGGAAGATAACCATCAGTACTAAGATCACAAGATAAAACAGCTGAACTCAAATTAGCCTCGCAAAGAGCAAGTAGGTCTGGTGAACTTTGCAAGAGATAAGACTCAACAGTAGAAAAGTTACTTTAAAGACTACGAATATTAGTGAATGTTAGGTTTAGCAAACTTGGTGATGATGGTGGTTTTTTGTGTTTTATAGTTTTTGTTACTTTATTCATTTTTAAATTTGTAAAACAACTTGATTCGAAACATAGATAGTGCTCAGTACACTGTTTAATAGCCCAAGCAACTGCCTCATTACTATTAATAAACCATTTAACATCTACCCAAGATGAAAATGCATTTAACATCTGCTCAAATCTGTTAAAAGTAAAATGGTCATATTTCAGGATTTTCTTGGAGCTCTAGCTCCAATTAAATCTAAAATTTTCAAGGAATTTTTATTTTTCTAAGTACTCTCAACTGTGTAAAAATCAGCAAAATCTGAGATATAGGGTGATATATTTAAAATTTTCTCATTTGATATTGAATTACCCTCCTGCTGAAAATATCTTCTCTCAGATTGGGTTATTAATACATCTTTGTAAAGTTTATGTCTGACTCATATGTATATAAGTTATTTTGGTTAATCATATCTATATCCAATTGTATTTTACTTTTGCAACATGTGGTATAATACCACATGGCTTGAACTTGCAACATTTATCCTTGATCTTGGAACATGTGGCTTTGTGCTTACTTTTTTTTATTCAACGAAAAATTGAAAAATTACAAAATTTTATAGTTTTACAAAACTAGGTTAGGTGTCACTCATATATAGTTAAAAACAAGTCATTGGAGTTACATCTAAATAAAATTAAGAAATAAGAAAAAATCAACAGCAATAGTAATAAATAAAAGCATGCACAAATCAAATTAATTAAAAAAAAAGTAACGATTAAGCTATAATAAATTAAATAATAAGACAAAAAAATATGAAAACACTTCTCTCCAATTAATAACAACGAACTTCAATCCAATTAATAACAACAGCGAACAACAATAAAAATAATTAACAACAACAACACAAATAATAACTAACTTTACGCAAACAAAAAGGCAAAACACAGAAACTACAAAACGAAAACAAAAACTACAAAAACAAAAGGCAAACAAAAACTTCTACGAAATAAAATAAAATAATAGTAATATTCTTTTGATATTTTTTGGTGAAAAAAGAAAGGCGTAAAAAAAGTTGGTAGCAATTTATTTTTATGTTTTAATTAGTTCTTTTTATTATTATTTCGAATATTTTCGAACTTTTTCTTTTAATTCGGTACTTTGCTTTTAATTGATTTTTTTTATTTGTTTCATTAAATCTATTTGTTCGTTTTATTCTTTTATTCATTTTCTTATTTTATTTTTGCAATCTTTTCGTTCGTTTACACCTCTCAATATTTTTCTTACTTTAATTTATTTAAAATAATTTTTTTTTCTTTAAAATAATTTTCTTTTTTTTCCTTTTCTCTCTTTTTTTTTTGGTTTGTTTACAATTCTGGCTATATCCAAGAAATGAAACATCTTCATTGCTTCCTTTTTCTGTTACTTTTTTGTAATGATTCCTTAATATATGTTTTTTAAACTAGTTTAAGATGGTTTATCAAGAAATAAAATTTTTTGTCAAATTGATTTTTCGTTTTTCAGAATATTAAATAAAATAGTTCCAATAACGAATTTCAGTTACTAGTTATCGTAAAAATGTTTATAAAAAAACAGTAATTTTTAAGCTGAAAAATGTTTAAAACTTTACTTATGGTTGAAATAAGAAAACTAAAAAAAAAATCTCTCGAAATTTACAGATGATCTTGCTTATATTATCTAGTTCCTAAACTAAAATGATGTTCAACTTTCATTAACTTTTATTACTTTATAATAAACGTTTGGTTTGTAGTTGTCATTTCCCTGGCCACCTTCTGATTTTTTCTCACTTACACCAACTTTGAGGTCCTACAGGACATAATACATGAAATTGAGATTGACTGTGGAAATTGGTACAGTAAAAAAGTACTGCTCTGAGATTCTTTTTCATTTGGTATATCTTTTGTGTACCACCCATTTCTAAGTAATTTTTAGAATAAGTGAAAAAAAAAAGAGTCCCCATCTCGAAGAAAAGTATTTAGATTTAAGTTCATACAATTCTAATGAGCGATGAAAGATATTTATTGCACCGATAAGATATGAGCGGCTGTGGTGCAGTGGTTACAGTGTATGCCTTATAAGCAGAAGATCCAGGTTCGAAACGAGCTCTGAACATATTTTCGCGTCACGGTAAGGAAAGAGGCGTGAACTTCCTGATTAAATGCACTTCCGCGGTGCTCTGTGACAAGACCGTTAGGTCTTCTTAGGGCACCTAAATGAAAAAAAAAAAAAAAAGATATTTAGTGCACAGATATTTAGTCATTTTTGAATGAGAACCGCTACATTAAGTTCTAGTAAAGTAAATCTTTATCTAATTAAGTACCTATAAAGGTAAAATAAAAATCCATACTTCTCTCTCCCCCTCCCTTATCTTTGTACAGCGTGATGTAATTTATAAACAGCTAAGAAATTTCTTCCTTATGGGTATTTTTATAATTTTAGATACTTAACTTTGACACCATTTGGTCAATAATTTTAAAATTTGTTAAACTTTAATTTTGTCAAAAATTAAAGTCCAATATTTAGAGAACCAATTATTTTTTTTTTTTTTTTTTAAAATGGAATTAAGCTTTTAGTATGAACAGTTACAGCATATTGAAAACTTATAAATTTTGAAGAGGTTGCTATTAAAAATTTGTATTTTAGCCTGAGCTTTGCAGAAAAATGCTCTTACACAAGAAAACAAAGAGTTCTGCACAAGCGCTTGTTTAACGGAAGTATTTATTTAACTATTTATCGTGACAACAATGCCGAAATGTTGGTTAGTTATGTCATTAACACTCTAGAGATAGACGCAGCGGAAAGTACATATATTGACTGGTTAAATAGGAGTATGTGCAATAAGTGTACATACACTGACTGAAGGTTTTTTTTTGGGTAGGGAGTCTTACAAATAAAAGAATGTTATCTTTATATTTGCGCACGTAAAGGAGACCGTTGGAGTGCGAGTGTTACACAGCAAAAAACATAACGCTAAAATAACAATTACATAACGGTAATTGAAAATTTTGGCGTTATGTTCACCGTTATGTTAGCGTTATGTTAAGTTTAAAGCTTTATGCCCAAAACTATTTGTATGATATTTGTAAAGCGTTATGTTTAACCGTTATGTTTACAAAATGGCGCGAATCTAAAGGATTTTTGCAATTAGATTTTTTGTTTATAATGTCTCTACTATTTTGATTTACTTATTTATTTACGTACGGTATTTACCATTTACTAAGTAACTTAGCTATAAAACAGCATTTTGGTTGTTAATTAATATATATTTATTGTATATTTGGTTCTGAAGCCCATAACTGATTGGTATATTTTGATTGCTCACAATAAATGTCATGGCATCTATTGTTAATATATATGTATATATATACATATATATATACATATATATATATATATATATATATATATATATATATATATATATATATATATATATATATATATATATATATGTATAAATATATATATATATATATATATATATATATATATATATATATATATATATATATATATATGTATAAATATATATATATGTATAAATATATATATATATATATATATATATATATATATATATATGTATATATATATTAAATATATATATATATATATCATATGTATAATATATATATATATATATATATATATATATATATATATATATATATATATATATATATATATATATATAATTATAATATATATAATGTCGTTTTGATGGCTGTTTATTTTTTAGATTTAACGTATCCTTGTTTTGGGCAGCTTCTGGGATGTTTCCAAGATATTTGTGGATTTGGGCAATAAGTTTTATTATTTAAAAAATTCATTTTAGTTCTGCAGTCTTTTCATAGCAATGCAAAGTACTTTTGACTTTATTAATGTTAATTTTTACCAAAGTTAATTTGTTTAATTATTTTCTTGGTTATGAAAAATGATTTAATATAAATATATTAAGGTATTAAACTGCATGAATTTTTTTTGTTTAATTAAACTTTTATTATCATAAAAATGTTCAAGGTTAGTTTGAGGAATTATTTGGAAATCGGAAAAATGGAAAAAACATTTAATTTGTTTATGCTGCATTTATACTTCTTGTATTGAAGATGCATTCCTAAAAATTTCAAAATTTTAATTTACTGTATATTGTGCCAATTTTCGGTCCGTAAATTGACCAATAAGTTCCCTGAAATAGACTAAGTCTTTAATATTTGAAATTATTTTGAAAGAAAAAATTATTTATTGTTAAGTTGAAATTCTGAAGAAATATATTATATGATATTTTTATAATAAATTTTTTCTAGTAATATAATATAAATTAGTGTAGTATTATTAAACTAATTAAATTGTGCTAAATAATGTTGTTTAATAATGTTGTTTAATACTTGTGTAATAATGGTGTTTACCTCTTACCGTCTGACCTGTCTGTTTATTATTACTGTTTTTAACATTAATTTTGTATTGCAAGTATTAAAAAATGTTAAATATACTATTTGTAAAATTAAAGTAGTATAAACTAATAATAACTGCTTTACTTATTTCTTCAATAGTTAATAGTTGAAAATAATAAAGGCTGTTGTTGTCAAATTTCTTGGGGAAAGAAAATTGTTATTGCTTGTAATATTGCTGACATTTTAACTAATGGTAAGCATATTTTGTATTGCAATGGTTCACATTCTTTTTTCTTTTTTTCCATTTAATGTATTAATAATAATTTTTTATTTTATGATTGTGATAATTATTTTTTATTTATAAAATTTTAGTGTGATTCACTACATGAATACTTATGCTAAAGTTTATATGGTCCACAAGTTATCTTTAATAAAACAGAATATGATGTAAGGAGTTGAAGAGGTATCGAAATGGATGTTCAACTCTTGATCAGTACATTTGTTTACTATTTGCTAGATTTAACATATTCTTGTTTTGGGCGGCTTCTGAGATGTTAGCAAGATATTTGAGACTTTTTGCAATTGGCTTTATTATCTAAAAAATGCATTTTTCTTCTGCAATCTTTTCAAAGCAATGCAAATTACTTTTGAATTTATAAATTTTAATAAGTTATTTTATTCAATTATTTTGTAAATAATTTATTCAATTGTTTTGTAAATAATTTATTCAATTATTTTGTAAATAATTTATTCAATTATTTTGTAAATAATTATATTATAAATAGTATAATATAAATATATTATGATATGAAATATATTTTATGGATAATTTTTATTTTCTTATTACAACTTTTATTGACAAAAAAATGTTTTTTTGTTAAGTACTTTGTGCGAATAGTCATGCAGAATATGCGTTTCTTTAAAAAGATAATTTTCATTTTACATAACGGTAACATAACGGGTAATTACCCGTTATGTTAGGTTTTCAACATAACGGTAACATAACGGGTAATTACCCGTTATATAACGGGAGTTTTCCTCGCACATAACGGTAAATTAGCGTTATGTAACCGTTATGTTTAAGGCAATTTTGCTATGACTAAACATAACGCTAAAACCGTTATGTTATTTTCATACATGTTAAGTATTAAACATAACGGCAATTACCCGTTATGTGCGAGGAAAACTCCCGTTATGTTTTTTAAAAATATAACGGGTATTTTATTTACTGTGTAGACTAGAGATCCTACCCATTATTTAAGCATTATAAAATATATGTTCAATATTGGAACTAAGGAGTTTAATTAAGCGCGTTTTAGCGAGTAATCTGTCACTGTAACAAGTTAATACTTATAACACACTCCTCTCAATATAAAAAAAGTTCTATCAAAAGCCTTTGATACAATTGACCACAAAAATTCTATTTAAAAAAATTGAGTGTTATGGAATTAAAGTTCTAATGCTACATTAAAATACAAATCAAAACAACTTTTTAAAATCCAGCCAATCATGTTGGAAAAAATTTATTTTATTTGAACCTGATATTGAACACTTAATTGATTAATAGATTACTAGCAGTTAGCAACCCGTAATACGCGTTGTTAGTAAATAAAATAAAAAAAAAAAAAACGTGTATAGAAAAGCCTAGAAACTACTTTAAATAGAAAAGCCTATAAAATGACGTAACTCGACTAATATTAAATTAGCGTATTCATATTATCAGATATTATCAGATTCCTTCAAAAATAAAACATAATTTATCAGTACAGTACCAATAAAAATGTAAACTAGAGTTAAAAAACATTGTACGTTCTAGATCACTGTTTGCTTTTTAAATTCTGTCTCAAAGAATGTTCTGGTTCTTATGTGGGTTAAAACACTATCATGAAACTTTTTTTTTTTTTTACCAAGATGTAAAAGTTTTTTTTTGATAACTGGTTTTCTTTCATACTATTGTTTCTTTCTTTAAAAGAAAAAGGGTTTTTAGTAACAGTTATCCTTGATCAAACCTTATAAAAAGTTGTCAACTGCCAGATAAAAAAGATCTTAAAAAAATGTTTTCGGTACCTCAAGTTTTTAAGCTGATGCTAAGAGTAGCTTAACAGATCTCTGTGGCTTAATAGTAGGTATGTTCAAATAATTACTAACTATTATGAACCACAATCAGTTGGTAAGGCAAGTCGATGGAGTTTATAACATAAGCAGTTTATTAAAATTAATTTCTTAACTGAGGTTCAGGAACATAACAAATAATGGGGGAGAATCGATCTGTTTTTTATTTTAGATTAGATTGCCTATTTCACTTTAGACAACTGAACGCTTTTAACATAAATAAGCTATACAGTTTTTGTTCTTTAAGAAAAAAGTTGTTAGTTGTAATAAGGCATAGGGTTCAAAGTAGTGCCGGATCAAGGGGGCTAGGGGGGACTATAGCCCCGGGCTATAGTCTCCCCTAGTCCTCTAAAATTTTTAGGTCCTCTAAAAATTTTAGAGGACCTTTTTTTTTTTTTTAAAGTCATTTTTAGGCTCTGACCCATAAAAAGGCCTCCAAAAACAAAAATAGCCCCGGGCCCCAAGAAGTCTTAATCCGCCACTGGTTCAAGGATGTCAATGATAAAGATTGTTTATTAGAAGTTTTTCAGATCAAAATTATTCATGGTAACTAGGAAAAAGCTAATTTTCATATATGAAAAAAACACATATAAAAATGTTGAGACATTGTTCTTTGACACAGTCATTGTCATCAAGTTGTTTATGGGAAACATTTCTGTGAAAAAGTACTTTTATATACTTTTATATAACCAAAAATCATAAACGTTGTTAAAAAAACCTTTTTAAAGTAAAACCAAACGGAGGATTCTTCTGAAATTATATAAAAGCCATCTAATGGTGTTTTCTTGTGTGTGATTTACTAAAGCACACATAATTTATTGTCATACAAATGCATTAATGTAGAGTAGATTAGGGTAATATGAGCACCTTGTTAATATGAGCATACTTACAAATTTCTTAGATGTAAGCTGTGAAGTTATAGTTGTATTTTTTGAATTGATTTAATGTGGTGATAACAGAAATCAGTATAATTAGCCTAAATTTATACGTAGTAATTAGCGGCTATTATCTAATTAAAATGCTAAATGTTCCATTTTTGTTAGAAAAACAATGCATAGAAGCATTTAGTTTTGACTTTATTTAAAGATACTTTTTTTGTGTAATATGAGCACCCAGTTTTTCATTGAAATTACCTAGTATAAAGTCCTAAAATTGTAGTGGTTTTAATTGCTTTTTGAATAAAATAAAACATTAAAAAATTTTAATATTTTAACAATACTAAATTTTTGTCTGTAATTTAAATTCAAAAAATTTGAATTTTTATTGTTCAAATGTTTGAGTTAATAAGAAGAAACAACAAACTAGTCTTTTTTTATTTTGCGGAAAACAAAATAGTATTATTTTAATAAAAAGTAGCTTAAATTTTGATTTTTTAATGATAAGTTTTGTTAATAACGAATCATTAAATTCCGAAAATTAGTTCTAATTGTCAGGTTGGTATTTTTTCACTTAATTAATCTTACTTTTTTTTCGCTAATTTAAAGTGCTCGTATTACCAAGGGGTCGGGGTAATATGAGCAATTGTGTAACTTTTTTAAAACCTTTGTGTTTTTAAGAAAAACTTTCAGTTGTCCAAATATCTAAGTGGATCATGAGTAGTGATCCTTAAATATTGTTTATTTGCAAAAATTTTGGATCCAGCATAATTATTTTTGATAATATTCAAATTTTAGCTTAAGGTGATCATATTACCGTAATCTACCCTATATGAAAACAAAATGAATTTAAAAAAATTTGAATTAAAAAGCTTTTTTTATTTTATAGTTATCACCATTTAATAATTACTAATAATTGCGCTAATCAAAACAGACGTTGTTCTACTTAAAATAGATTAAATTATTAAAAATGTATAAACAAACTAATGACGAAAAGTTAAACAAATTCGATTCTACGAATTTGTACGAGCTTGTTGTTTTTGAAACAGATCTTCATCTCTTTAGTTTAAATGAAAGAATATTTTTATTATTTTTAATGATATTTGAGTACTGAGTCATTTTTATTTAAAAATTCATAATAAAAAAATTGTGTTTTAAGCTTCTATGGTCATTAAAAAAAAAAAGGCAACTTTAAAACAACCACTGTTGTCCAATGTATACCTGGTAAAAAACACAGTTGTCCGAATTATTTATAACTAGACCAATGATGATAAAAGCGTAAGTCGCATGACTAACTTTTGTCCTTAGAAAAATACGTCGGATGAAGTAAACGACATTACGTTCACAGAAAAACATTAAAAAAAACAATATATATATATATATATATATATATATATATATATATATATATATATATATATATATATATATATATATATATATATATATATATATATATATATATATATATATATATAAAGTTTTTATTTATAATGACAAAAGATTTCTCTTGAATTATTTCAACTTTTGTTTTAATTCATACTAGCAGTAAGCAACCCGTAATACGCGTTGTTAGTAAATAAAATTAAAAAAAAACGCGTATAGAAAAGCCTAGAAACTACTTTAAAATAGAAAAGCCTAGAAAATGACGTAACTCGACTAATATTAAATTAGCGTATTCATATTATCAGAAGGTGTACTCTGTAACATTCTGTATAGGCATGACACCCCTATAGAATGTGACAGAAACATGGCCATTGCAAATCTAAAGTTTTTGCAGAAACACTACACAATCTCACAAAAAACCATAACAATTCAATATTATATATAAATATAATACAAGAAAAATTTCTGAAATTTGCAGAGTTTCAAAACCAAACTTCTTACGTTCACTTAAAGAAATTGAAATATTTAAAGTTAGTTAAAAGTTTAATTATATGCAAAATTGGAAATATTTAATTTTATGTGTTACATCTCATATGTTTAGATCAAAGATCGAAGTGCCTGATAAGCTAAAACAAGCATACATAGCTCTGTTGACTTTTTTATTGTTAAAAATTTAAAGACTCACTAAAGCTAATAATTTTCTGAGAAGACAAAATAAGACATTATTTGATATTATTTTATCTTATTTTTGAAAAATTTATTTTTCTTTGAAAAAAAAATAACACATTTTTATTAACGTTGTGTTCACAATTGGTTTTTGTATGGTTTATACAAACTTGATATAAAGTGATGGAATACAGACACCAGGAAGCATCTATGGTAAATAGATGAGGTTGGGGAAGAGATAAGGTTGCAATGCTATTTTGTATAAAGAAAAAAAAAAAAACTTGTATATAATGTTATATTTGATTTTTTATGAAAAGAAAAGAGATGAGGACGACATTATCCCATCACACACTTATTACGTTATGGTTTTAAATTACAATGTGTTACCACCTACATTTAAAAACATTAGTGCTCTAAAAGGTTACAAGCTAACGTGGTTTATGAGTTGATGAATTTACAACGGAAAAATCACGAATGTCTAAAATGAATGTCAAAAGAACACTGTGAATCAATAATTTTTATATTTAGTACAAAAACTGCATTCATATATTGTGTAATAACTAAAATGTCATAAAAATATACTTTTAATTAAATATATTATCAATAAATAGATATCTAATGTCACTAAACACTAAATTTCATTTTCCTCAAAATAAGAAAAATCTGTGGTTTTACCCGTGTGGTCTACGTATGAAAGTATCTTTTTTGATACAGTGGCGTAGTTACATATTTAGCGCTTAGAGCAAGTTAAATTGGTGCGCCCCCTCTTTTTTCGAAGTTGGTTGAAAACAATTCAAATATATTTGAGTTTAAATCATAGGGGTTATATACAATATGGAATAGAAAAACCTCATGTTCCTAATGTCAAAGTTGAAGATACTAAAATCGTTATAGTTGGCAATCCTGATACTAATAATCCAGCAGAAATAAAGTAAAGATTTAGGTTAGCAATTTTGTTTCAAAATATTATTTAACATTTCACGTCTTTCTTAGGAAAGAGTCATGCGTTTAGTCATCTTGGTGTTTCCATATATTTTTACATTCTTCTAATCTGGACAATAAAATAAATATTTTATTGTTCAAAATATATTTTTTAGAAATAACCATTTATTTAAAATTAAACTTATTAAAAATTTATAGACATTTTTAATTTCTAGCAGAAGTAGTTCAGCAATTTGGCTGAATTTAATCAATCATTGAAACAAATTTAAAATCAAAACAGTTGAGGCCAAAAACTAGATTAAATGTCGGAGGAGTATTCCAATAGTAACACCTCCGATTCCTTCAGATGATATCACAAGATATGTAGGTTAGGCACTTAAAAATAGGTAGGTAGGCACTTAAAAATAAGATATATATAATAGATAATAGGCTCTTAAAAAGTTGGATTTAACTCTAAAGGTTAATTGATTATCATTATGCCCATTACTTTATAATTATGTCCATTACACCTCAACTTTGAAACGTTGTTGGCTTTTTTGATTGCGCTTATCTACTTGTAATTCATTTAATTTACCCAACGCAGTATTTACACAATAAAGACCCAATTTACACAAAAATCGAAAAAACCTAATTTACACAATAAAGACATTTTTTTAAACTTCTTTTAAACATTCAAAAAATGTCATTTTAATTACTATGCCAACAGACTAATCAAAAAGAGAATGGCATTTATTCAAAGAGGTATGTTAGACAAGCTGGAAAACGAATACGAAGCCGAAAATAGTTTTAAATAGTGTTACAGTGTTTCTAGTATATTTATTCCAATAGTAAGTTAATATAAAATGTAAGTTAAAATAGCGGCTTGAAAATAGTAAGCTTTAAAATGTGCTTTGAAAGCTTTTAAAAGCTGTAAATTAATAAATTACTTTCTTAAAATTTGATTCGATTAATTTCTAGCAACTGTTTAAACTCCCAAAAAATAACCACAACAAAAATCATGATTAAGGTAAAATAATCGTTTCTTGCATACCTCAGTATTAACAAGGTTTCTTGCATACCTCAGTATTAACAAGGTTTCTTGCATACCTCAGTATTAACAAGGTTTCTTGCATACCTCAGTATTAACAAGGTTTCTTCCAATATATTTAGGTAAACTTTCACAATCTGATCCTTTACTTGTTTTTCCTAACTTAAGTTAAAGTTACTCAAACCTAATTTCACAAAAATTAGATCTAGATTTGTTTAGAAAAAAACTCTTCAATTGCAAAAATATTAACAATAATACAACCCAAAATGAAAGTATCAAGAGAAGTTCATAAAACTATCTGCTGAATATTTATATTATGTATATACATATACATCTTACTTAAGTTGCATAAGTTTAATTTCTATTTTAGTCTTTTTTTTTTTCTCCCCTTATTTCTTAAGCTATAGATTTATTACGTTTCTAAAAACGTTATTTTGACCAGGAACTTATTGAAAACTTTAAAGATATCATTTAATTGATTAAGTATTTTTGCGGATAACAGATTATCTGCTTGTTGCAGCAATATTTTAAATATAAGAATATAAAATATCTGTTTGTAAATCCGGCAAATATACTAACAACTGTTAATCTAATCTAGACATTTATTAATTCAATTCTAATCTAAACAGTTGCTTCAAAAAACACAACATTAGAAAATAACTATAAACTAACTATAAATAAAACTTACTAATTTTTTAGAACTTTTTTTCTTTTATTTGAAATGTTTGATGTTTTTGACGTGACGTTTTTATAAAATCATTAGATATTTTAAGTGAAATGTGATAAAGTTAAGATATTTGTGCGGCATTTCATTAAAAACCTTAGGCCATTAAAACTCAGTTTTAATGGTCTAAGTTAAAAACTATGTTCTCCTGCGTAGAGGAAACTCTCGCACGGTACTTATGCAACTTAAGTCATTACATAAATTAGATTAGGGTTGCTAGCAGACTTTCTGATTGCATTTGCTTGTGAAATGACAAGATCCTTGTATATTTTTCCAAGGTAATCTAAAAACAGTACAAATAAAAAAAAAAAATATGCGCACTAATTTTTAATTAATGTATGCTTGGAACATTTGCTCCAACTGCTCCGCGGTAGCTACGCATTTGCCTTTATATATATAAAAGATATTAAAATTATATATTACTTAATATACAGCCAAATAATTAAATGTGAGATAAGTAAGTAAAGTATAGAATAAGTATTGAAATTTATTTTAAATTTTTACTAGTGCATAATTTTTTTTACTTTTTACTTTTAGTTTAAAATAATTTCTACTTGTGTATTTTTATGATACTTTTTCATAAAAGTATCATAAAAATATTCTTCTATTTATGATACTTTTTAACCCTTTTAAAAAGATACTTAAAAACTATTACCCAGTCCGCCATTATATGTTGATATATCAGATATATCTGGAAACGCCGTTTGATTTTCAAAAAATTTAGCTAATTGTAGTAAAGAATCTTCAACTGATGCAATAGTTTGAACAAACGCAGCATCCGCAGGAATTATATTCGAAGATATTTTGGGATCAACATTTTTAATAAATTCAATCAAATTTTGAATAATAGGTGCTCTTACAAATTGAATGTAAGGAATGCCGACTTTACGAATATCATCATTCACATCTAAAAGTATCAAAAATAAAAAGAAATATCTGATAGATTTAATAAGCAAAAAGAAATATAGTTATATAGCACATATTAAAAACGTAATTATCAAACATTAAAACTGCGCTTACCTCCAAATGCTTTAGTATAAAAGAAGAGAAGAAAACACGATATAAACCAAGTCGAAAAAGACATATCTTAAGCGAAAAAATTTTTTTCTCAAAATTTTCAACTTTAAATATTATTCAGTCTCCATGGAATAAAAAATTAATAGTTATATTCATATACGCACTAAGAAGTGTTTAATTTTTAACGGTATTTTTTATGGAATCTGGATCAGGAAAAACTTTAAAAGAAAAAAAAAAAACTTCTATCTAACTTTTCTTGAAAAAAAAATATTTTTATTTCTGAATATATTTGTTGTTTCACTAAACAATCAAACTTTTTTATTAAAAAAAAAAAATTCTGAAAGAAAAAAATTAATTATTTGTAAGAAAAAATATTCAAGCAAATTTAAAAGGATATTTTCTGTCAATTTATTAAAAAATAAGTTTCATATAAAAAACGCATTTCATACAACGGAAAAAAACCTATAACAAAAATAAACAAGCAAAACAATAAATGTTAATTACATTACCAAACGTATGGAATTAGTTTGGCTGTTTTGGCTTTGTAAGTTTGATATTCAACTAGATTTCCCCACTTTTTGTCAGCGTATTGTTCAAGTATCGGAATACCACTAACATTAGTAAGTAAAAAGGTAACGAAAATTGGAGATATAATGCTGAGTAACTCTTTTCCTCGAAGTACAGAAGATGCTGGTAAAAATAATCCGCTCCATAGCAAAATTTCACCAAGATAATTTGGATGCCGACATAAGCTCCATAAACCGCTATCTATAAATTTTCCGCGATTTTCAGGATCAGCACGAAAACGAGATTTTTGATTATCAGCAACTGTTTCTATTAAAAAGCCCGCTGCAAATATTCCCCAACCGATATAATCACGCATACCTAATGGTTTATCGTGACTTTTTATGTTAAGCATCATTGTAGGTAAGAGAGTCGTCCATATCCATAAAGCTTGAATTGTCCAAAATGTCCAAAACAACATTGGGCTTTCTTTAGCTTTACGAAAACGCCTGTCTTCGCCGTCATGTAGAATACGAGAAAAAAGATAAGTTCCTAATCGTATAGCCCAAATTGAAACGCATGCGTTTTGTATTATTTGACGGGGAAAAATTGGTAGTTTTGATCCTCTTTTAGCCCATGTTAAAGTGACCCACGTCATGTAAAGAAACGTCGAAGATCCTGTTAAATCATAAAACCTCTCTGTTTTAAACAATAAAGCCGCCGCGCAACCAACCCATTGGATACCTAAATCAGCAACTGCAGCTTTTGCCAATATATTTCGATCCAATTGAGAAAAGAAGTTACCCATGATTTTTAAACGAAATTTTTTTTGCCTTTCACTAAATGTAATCGGTAAACTAAAATTTTTAATAATCAAAACATACAAAAAAAGATTAAACATTTTTGTAAAACAAAATTTACCAAGTTTACCAAATTATTTTAAAAATTAAATTTTTTAAAAATAAACTTGAACTTAAATGAAATAGGTAAAACTGACATTTTTTATAATCAAAACATTTTTTATAATCAAATCAATAAGTTAAAAGTAGAGATGTAACAGACCAGGATGCCGTGCGAACTTCGCATGATTTTTACTTAATAAAAATTGTGAAAAGAAATTATTATTAAAAATTAGTAAAATCAAAAAAAAAAGAATAACTCTGTGATTTTGTTACATCCATCAAATCTCTACTTAAAAGTAAAACATAGTAAACATAATTTTTATTTATATTAAAATTTCAATTTCACAAGAAAATAAAAATTGCATTTTAAAACGGACTAAGCAGAAAGCCGACTTAAAAAATATAAATAAAAACGTTGGAATTTTAAAACAGCATTTTGCAAAGCATAACAAATGTAAAAATTACTTTAAATATTTAAAAATTACTTTAAAAACTCAAAAAAAGAAAAAAAAAACTACGTTAAATAAAAAAGTAAAAAGACACACACACACACACACATATATATATATATATATATATATATATATATATATATATATATATATATATATATATATATATATATATATATATATATATAATTTTAAGATTACATTCCTAAAAAAACTACGAATTTACATTGAAATTTTAAACTTCGACATAAAAAAAATTACAGTAGTAAAAACTAAATACAGATTATTTATTTGCTATAATAATCTAGCTCTATTATATTCATTAGCTTAATTATATACTCAAATTTTCACATTTTTACATCAATAAGAGCAAAAAGATTATAGAGAACTAAATACAGATTAATAAAAGTACAAGTTTGTAAGTACATTTGAAACTTAAAATTTTTGCACAACATAAGTCGATGATTATTGCATGATTTAATTAAAACATGCAAAACATGTTTGAATAATTTTTTCTTTTAAAATTATGATAGACTATTAAGATAGCAGTACATTCAACCTATTTACTAACTTGCCATACTAACAAATGACTTCTCTCAACGGTAATAACCTTGGAAGACATGATCATTCCGTCATTAGATGACTGATTTTCATCAAATTCTTCGTCTCCAACACGAAAGTCAATATAGCCTATAAAAATTTGATTACACATAAAAATTCTAAAATTAGTAAATTCAGAGTATTAAATGTAAAGAAATCAACTTTACATATTAAATACGTTAATAAATAAATGTTAAATATGTTAATAAATAAAAACTAAATATATTTACCTTCTCCGCCGCTCATGACAAGCAAACTGCTGTTTGGAAGAGATTTTTTTGCAGTTGAGTTTAATGGACTGGGAGGCCTAGCACCTGCATTTGAATAGGCTTTAGCAGCTTCAATATTTAAAGCTGCTCCTGGAACAGCCACAAAAAATTTAACAGAATCTCTATGTCCGTGAAATGAAAGTTGAGCGTTAACCTTGAACACAAAAAACATTTTTTATATATTTTATTTTTTGCAGAATAATATACATTTATGTATTAATTATATATTAAATTTTTTATATAGTTAAAAACTAAATTTTTTTAACGTCTAATAAATACCAATTTTGAAATCCTACCATCGAACAGTAAGGCATAAAAACAGTTCCAGTAGATTTGTAACTCTTTGAATCAGAAGAATCTACTGTTTCGATTATATTTTCTGTTTCCTTTTCATTGCCAAGCTGGGCAGAAATTAAAGGGATTGATAGAATAATTCCATTTCCAGTACCTACCCATAGTCGATCATTTGTTATGAGTAATGCTGTAATGCGTACAAATGAAAATCCAAACTTACCAGTTCCTAAATGATATTTAGATTGCTGAAATAAGTAATAACTAAATTCAAATTCAATATAAAAAATATAAATAATAAACAAAGATAACAAATATTAATAATGACCAAAAATTAGTAAAGAACATTTTGTATAATTAAACATTACAGAACGTTACACATTATAGAATAAACATCATGGAATGATGTATATATAAACTAACACTAATAAGCAAAAATAAAAAATGCCCCCAAAAATAATTTTACCTAAAACTTTACTGACATATGGTTCAATATCTACATCTTGCAAATGATGAAAAGTCTGAGCATTATACAACCTTAACGTGCTATCTAATCTTATAGACACCCAAACACCATCACCAAAACAAGCAAGTTGACGAACTTGACTCTCACGACGAGGATGTGCATCAAAAGATTTCTATAATAATTTAGAACTTAACTTAAATTAAAATCACACATGTCATTATTTACCATTTACATAATAGAAGCAAAAATTGTTTCACTCATGTAGATGTAACTCTATAAAAACTCTAAAAACCATATTAGTTGCGTCTAATTGTTTTCAAAAAAACCATTTAGAATGCCTGGATAACTAAATTTATGATAATAATTAAAGTTAAATGACCAAAATCATAGAACATTATTGGACCAATGGTTGACCTTAATTTTTTGTTAAGTCAAGATCAATATTTTATTTATTTTACGGTCCTCAATATATCAACTATTCTTTTTACATTTAAAACTATTTATTTTCAAGTTAAAGTAATTTTAACTATAGTTATTGAAAAACAGAAAATGCCTTATTTTATAAAAAAATATATATAAATAAAAATAGTCCAGAAATGGAGTTTCCGGTGCAACAAAAAATACATTTTTATGCTTTTCAAATTTTGTAAATAAAAACAAACTATAAAAAAAAAAAAAAAAAAAAAAAAAAAAAGATTTAAAAAATTAAATAACAGGTGTTCTCTTAAAAATGGAACTCCACAAAATACAATGGCTTATGTGCTAATGTTAATATAATAACATATGATTACAGAACAGAACCAGGATTTTTTGGTGTTTGAGTTAAATAATTTTCAGGTTAGTTCTAAACTCCATACTTTTTTATGTTCATACTTATGTCATTTAAAAATGCTTTGCCAAAAATTGAATTGATTAGAGCCTAGGAACAAAAATAACCTAAATAGTAGGCATCACCCGCCCAAATGGTAGGGCAAATGATTTTTTGAAAAAAAAAAGAGTTACTTCCTTTAATAAAACTCAAATGTGTATTTATATTTAAAGTTTGATCAAAAAATCATCTAGCGTTCAAAAGTTAATTTAAAGTTTACAACCCCCTCAAAATGAGGGGGTTGTAAATTTAAACTGGGCATAATTTCTAAACAACATAATATTTTTCAAAAAAAATTCAGAACCTTAACAATATTACCACCTAATTTAAGATATTAAAATTTACATTTAGAAAAACCGATTCCTCCCACATTTGGGCGGGTGATGTCTACTTTTTAGGGTTTTTTTATTCCCAGGCTCTAATCAGTGGAATTTTCGACAGATCATCCTTAAATGACTAAAGTATAAAAATACAAAAATTTGGAGTTTAGAACTTACCTGGAAGTTATATAACTCAAATACCAAAAAATCCTGGATCCATCCCTGACTTAATGTTTATGAAAACTAGAAAATATCAGGCCTTTTTTTCAAGCGTTGAAATTGTTTGTTGTTAACAATAACAACAACAACAAAATATTTATTCTCCTTTTTAAACCATACAATAATATTATAATAATAATAAATATAATAATAATAATAATAATAATAATAAAAAAATCATACTATTAATCGTAGTAAGTAAAAGTAATTGATTAATAAATAAATAAATAAATAAATATATATATATATATATATATATATATATATATATATATATATTATAATAATAATATAAAATAATGTAATGAGTAAATTAATTTTAAGTATTTAATAATAATAACTAAATGATTGATAAGGATGGTGCCACTCAAAGAGAATTCTGATCAAAAGAGTGACACCAGTTTTCAAATATAATATGACAATGTGGAATGTAAAAAAAAAAAAAAAAAAAAACATAAAAGAAATATATGAAATAAAAACTCTTTTATTTATCATCTTGCCAGCACAAGAATACAACTTTTGATTGCGATAAAAAATTAATTAAATTTTTCTATAACAATAAATAATTTTTTATTTTATTTTATTTGTGATGATCGATTTTTTCGCTTGGAAAATGCTAATACTTTCAGTTTAAAGCAAAGATTATAATATAATTTAATTCCGATAAAAAATATACAATATTATCTAAAACTAATTTAATAAAAATATATAATTTTATTCTGATAAAAAATATATAGCTTAATTTTGATTTAAAAAATATATATATATTAATTCTAATTTAAAAAAATATATTTAAGTTTATTGAAAATAAAGTTAATGCTTGGGTTTAAGTTAATTGTCAAATAATTAAAAATATTGCTAAATATAGTTCAATATTTATATTTTATTTATCTTAAAAAAAAAATTAGCTCATTTTTATCACAATTGTTTTTTCGGTTTTCCTTCCTACCATTTTTTTTTTTAATCAAAATTAAATTTTAAATAAACGTGTTCCGAGGCTGTATCAAAAATTTGCACAAAACATAAGTAAAACTTTTTTTTATAATGCAAGCAGAGAGCAGAAATTATTTTTTAATAAAGATATATAGAACAATATAATTATAACAAATGTTGTTTAGAAAAATAAGCTTTGCTTTTAGAGCAAAATCGCTAATAAAATAATAAACTTTTAATAAATAAAGTAGATAAATTAACGTAACTTTTTTTATTGGTAAATTGCTGATTTTTTAAAAATAAAAAATCATTTTTAGTTGCAAATTTTTTAAGATAATTATTTTAGAAATTTAACATATTTTAATTAATTTAAAAAATGTTGAGAAAAACAATTTGTTTATTTAAAAAAAATTTTAAAATGTATTATTAAATTTAATTATTTAATATTAAAAAAAAAAATGACAGAAAATAAACATTTTCTAATAGTAAATTTTATGACATCATCTTTAGGCTAACGCGTTAAGCATTTTTTATTTAAAACAAGGCTTGAAATATCTCAACAACAACAACACAAAAAAATGTATTATTCAAAAGTAATTTTTCTTTAGTTAAAAGTGAGCTTAAAAAAAGAAGATTTAAGAAAGCGCGTGTTAAAAGCGAGCTTAAAAAAAGAAGATTTAAGAAAGCGCGTGTACTAGTTCTACAAAAACATTACACGAGGAAAACTGTTTACTTATAATCATTTTAAAGCGGAAAATATTCCAAAAACAAATGCATTAAAAAATATGAAAGTGGACTAAGTGCAGAAAAAATTAGTAATAATAATAAAAAAAAAAGAAATGGCACAAAACATACAAAAAGTAAACGCAACCAGCTTGCTGCTTATTTTGCCAATAATCCCAATGAAACCATAAGAAAAGAAGCCAAAAAATTAAAAATTTCAATCATAAAATATCGTTACCACGAATCAATAGCAAATGATCTGAACAACAAAGAGCTGTCACTTTAAATGCGGATGCTTTATAAAAAGATTGTATAAAATGTTTTTTTTTAACAAATATTTTTGTTTTGGATGACGAATCTTATTTTACTTTGTCAAATTTCACAGTTGTTGGGAATGATGGGAATTACTCCAGTCACACCAAGAATGCCTCTCCAGCCCTCAAGTACAAAGACCAGTAATTAAGCAACCTATCTATTCTCTTAACAAATATACATAGAAAAAAATATTTTGATTCTATTTATACGTGAACAATATTCTGATGACAATTACATTTTTGGCCTGACTTTTTTGTCTGAGCTTCAGCTTACTATGCCAAAAATGTCATTGCTTTGCTAGACAGTAAAAGTATTTGAAAAATTTATTTGCAAGGAAAAGAGCGAGGTAGTACAGCAGTTTGCAAGCTCGACTAAAAGAAGATTGAATGAAGTTCATTTTAAAGGATTACCAGAAAAAAATTGTTTTATATATATATATATATATATATATATATATATATATATATATATATATATATATATATATATATATATATATATATATATATATATATATATATATATATATATATATATATATATATATATATATAAACTTAATACATTTAATTTAACAAAATTAAAACCACAGCTATCCTAGATTTTAATTTATAAAATACAACTTAGATGATTACCTCTATTCTCATGGTTCTCGGATTGATAACTTGGATTTTATTTCTATAACCACACCACACGCGATCATGAACTGGGGTCATGCATCTAATAGAATGATGAGGACGACCAAGATCAAGTAAATGATAGTTACTTAAATCCCATGGACCATCTATATATACAAAAATGATTATATATAACAGAAATGTTACTCAAATGTGTTACACAAGATTTATGATATAACTCAAAATAATTTTTTCAAACCTGGCTTCCTATGGAATATAGCAACAGTGCCATCAGCTAAAGAAACCAAAACACGACCATGTGTATATCTAAAGTATCAAATAACTAAAAAAAATGCACCCAGCAGTAAATCAAAAAAACTTTGAAACCTTTTAATACAATTTAAATTTTATTTTAAGGTTTTAACCAGAGTGACTAACAGGTAAGGCCTAGAAATTTATATTTTTATCCTTTTTAATCAATAGTATTTTTTTGTATCAGCATTTGAAGTAAAGAGAGTATTTATCTTTCTACTTATCCAAGTAGGGGAAACTGGGGTATAATAGGATACTTAAGAAAATTCATCAAAAAAATGCCAAAAATAATGATAATAAAAACAATTATTTTTTAATAGGATAAAATACAACAAAAATTACTACCTGACAAAAAGTCAATAGCGTTAAACAAAAAAATATATATATTTAATATTTAAAAATCTTTGGGAAAAAACCAATTTGCCCCATGCTAGA